GGCAGTGGGGGCTTGGGGAACAGGAAGGATTTTGTTTAAGGGTACAAATTTGCAAGAGATCTAATGCACAGTATAGTGATTATAGACACCAGTATTGTATTATAAACATTGAACTTGCTAAGAGACTAGATCTTAACTATTCCCACCACAAAAAAGAAATAATAATTATGTGACATGATAGAGGTGCATTATAAATTACTAAGTAGAATCTAGTTACTCGTGAAAAGCATTTACCAATTAAATCTAATTAATAAAAATATACACCAAAATATTGACAGTGTTATCTCTGGGTATTAGGATCATAGGCCTTTTTAAATGTTCTTTTCTGTAATGTTCAAATTTTCTACCGTGCATAGGGATTATTTCTATAATTAGGTAAAACTAAATATTTGCTACTAAAAACCTCGAATAACCCAATTTCTTTTTACCACTAGGAGTGTTAGGTTTTTAGTTTGATTAAATTTCAACCAAAGGTCATGAACAAAAACTTTTGAATCCATGTTAAATTAAACGTGTCTCATAGTTTACACGTTGCTGAGATGTTAAAGGGTCAGAGAGAGAAGTGCAGGGAAGCCAGAAAGCATACACATCGTTTAACGCCTAGGAAGATCTGATGTAAAATCAAATTGGAGGCAGCGTGATACCATCTGTAGACATTTAAGTAGAGAAGACAGACCAGTCTGCCTCCTCGAGGTAAACAAACCATGGCCAGAAAATAAGCAAAAAGAGAGACCAAGCTCTTTGTAGACTTAGACACCCACTTCACGCCAGTCTGCGAGGAAATTCTATGAAAAGAGCTAGATGTATGCACAGCTCCCCCTTGTTAAGAGAGGTTTTCAGGACTGTACCTTCGCTCCAAGAAAGAGCCCAGAGCCTCAACTAGACCTACAGGGCATTTGCTTAGTCTTCATCATCTGGGAACTGACTTACGGACCTTACGGAGGACGCATACGTGGGTATGGGCAATTCCAAGACTTGGTAACCTACTTCTCTGTTATTAAATGTGTACATAAATATTCCACATGGTTGTGTTTCTTAATGTTTAATGTTTTAAAAAGAACTTTCCCAGTATAGGAAATCAGCATCCCTGTTTGCCCCCGTTACTTCAGAAACTTGCTCTCTTGCTCTGATGAATACTGTCTCTCCATTTGACAAAAGCCAAATGAATATTGAAAATTGGACAATATATTAAAAATCAGATATTGTCCATTCATCTTAAAAACAGAGAACCATGTAATTATAAAATGTTAGCATGGTTATGAGGGCCATTTGGAAATGTATTAGTCACCTGAAACTTTACATGATAACGACTGATAAAAAAACATATTACCAGGCTTCCCTGGTGGCGCAGTGGTTGAGAGTCTGCCTGCCGATGCAGGGGACACGGGTTCGTGCCCCGGTCCGGGAAGATCCCACATGCGGCGGAGCGGCTGGGCCTGTGAGCCATGGCCGCTGAGCCTGCACGTCCAGAGCCTGTGCTCCACAACGGGAGAGGCCACAACAGTGAGAGGCCCGCGTATCGCAAAAAAAAAAAAAAAAAAAAAAAAAAATACCATTTTAGTGAGAACTAGGAACATTTTTCTATGCTTGAATTAGCTCTTTAATTAGAAGAAAAATCTTATTCATGTCAATGCTTCCACTGGTTTACAATGATCTGGATAACTGCTCAGCAGAAAACATTAAATTCTGGATGCTTCCTGCAAAGGTGAAATTGAAATTACTCTGGAACGTGATACAATGTATGGCAAGGAGAACTGTGTTTTATCTGATCTTCTCATTCAAAACAAGAGAAACTGATTTGTTTTCACATTCTGTTGAACAATTGATTGCAAGTAAGAACGGTCTTTGCTTTGCCTGTGACTGGCTATCCTACCTAGTTAATGAGGATCTCATTCATCGCTATTCACTTTCCTCCTCAAACTGGCACACAAAACATGCTCCTGAGCCAGGCAAGAGAAATAGTATGGCTGAGCATAAACTAGTAGGAAAAAGTAAAGACGACACCAAAGGGTGGCTTGGCATGGCCTTCTATAATCTCCAGTTTCTTCAAAACCACCCCAACAAACATAGAAGAAAAGTCAAAACAATGGCCTTCCTATGCAAATGCAGATTTAAGACAAGTTCCCAAGATCCCCTTCTTTCCAATCAAATTGTCATTACTCCTCAGGCTACTACTCTCTAGATATTCTGCTGTGGCCTCTGCAGAAAGCTCAGATTGTTCATTAGTGAGCACCATTGTATTCACCCGGAGAAATGACCATGCGGCAGAGAAGAAAGGAACAAACATGGATACGAACCAACCCGTATTTACACCTTGTGCTTTCACATAGGGTTGTTAAAGACTAACATCTCCCAGCTATACTCCACCCCTGACATTTCCCTTCTTTTCAAAAGAGCATATTTTCCTCCTTCTTGAATACTGACATTTGGACGTATAATAGTCTTAGGTTGAATTGCTTCCAGGCAGATGCTGCAAAATCTTGGTGTGGGTACTTTATTTGGAGAGGAAGCAGGGAGGTGATTGTAGGAAGTTAGGGGTTGGGGAAGTAGGGCAGGGAGAGACGAGAATCAGTGAAGTGTGCATTAATGAGCAGGTGACCACTGCGAGCACATGGAACTCAACCTTCTTGGGGACCCCTTTGAGTGACCGTACACACACGTCTAGGACTCATTCCACTGAGGAATGTGAAACGTGGGGCATGTAAGCATACTCTGGTCTTTCAGTGTCTGAGGATTGCCCTCTGGGCAGCCCACACCCAGTCTAGCAAGCTCCTTTGAACAGAGAAAGTACCCAGCTGCCCAAATGAGAAGTCTACTGAGCACACAGGATCTGCCCGCCACAGGGGCAGGGGGCATCTGGGGTAAGTCTAGGGGAAATGGGGCGGGGCCCGAAACCTCCGCCACAAATAGGCCGCTCAGACTTAAGGTGCCACGCTGAATTTTAGGTTCACGTTCCAGCACCCTACCACTAAATCTACGTTTCCCTCGTCTTTCCTCAACTCAGCAAATGAAAACACAAGTTTTTAATATTTTCAGACCCAAAGCCTTGAATCATCTTTGACTCATTTCTGTTTCTCTTTTTCTCGTGTGAAAATCCATCATCACATACTGTCAGCTCTGTTTTCAAATTGGAGCCAGAATCTGGTCACTCTTCACCACTTCCACTGTCACCACCCTGGTCCAGGTCACCATTGTTTCTTGCCCAGACTACTGAAGTGGCTTCGTAACCATTTTTACTGTTTCCGGCCTCATTCCAAGTCTATTCTTCTCAGAATACTCAGAGTGATCCTTTGCACATGTACGTCCCTTCTGTGCTCAAAACCCTCTTCTAGTTTCCCACTTCAGAATCCAAACTCCTTACCATGGCTTACAAAAGCCCTTTACTATCTCCTGACCATTTTTCCTTCTCTTCTCCCCTTTGCTTACTTGGTTTGACCCATACTGGTCTTTTTCCTGTTCTTTTAACACAGCGTGCCTGCTCCTGCCTCAGGACCTTTGCACTTTGCTGTTTCCTCTTCCGGAAATGCTCTTGCTTCAGACATTGGCACAGTCCTTTCACTCTGTTAAGATCCAAATGTCAGTTTAATAGACAGGGCTACTTATTCTGACTATATCTAAAATAGCACTGCCGTCACTCTATTTCTTTACTCTGCATTAGTTTTCTTCGTAGAACTTATCATCATGACATACTGTATATTTTGTATATGTTTGTGTATTTTACATTGTCTATCTCCCTCCCACGCACAAAAATCAAGTTTCATTAGAACAAAGACCCTGCTTTGTTCACTGCTGTTTACCATCAACTAGAATAGGGTCTGTTAGTGGTAGGCATTCAATATATATCTGCTAAGTGGATGAATTCACTGGTCTGATAGCCATATGAGATAAATACTGATAGTTATTAATCAAATATTTACTAAACACTGTGACTGGCATTGTCCTGTGACAAATTTGTAGAAGCAGCTGCTGCTCTTCAGAAGCATAATGTATCCAGTGCACGAGGAGACAAGCTGTATCCCATGCATGGGGAACCACTGGAGTTCAGAGGGGAGATTATTATGAACAGTGGTTGTCAGGAAAAGGTAGGAAGGAAAGGTTTAGACTGGAGTGTGCAACACTTTGAATGTTTTGCTAGGAGTGGTACCTTTGTTCCATTTAAAAGTGAAAAAGCATCAAAAGTTTCTGAACAAGGGAGTAATATAATGAAAGCAGAATTTTAGAACAATTGATGCTCGATTCTATTCCACGAGGATTTGAGCAGGGAAGACTGGAGCCAGGGAGACAAATGTCATGAATTTTTCCCCCTCAAATCCTCATTTATCTCAATATCCAAGACATTAGCATATATAATCAATATGCTTCTAAAAAACAGCTTTATTCAGGTATAATTGATATACAAAACCCTGTATATATTTAGTGTATACAATTTGATGAGCTTGGACATACACATACACCTGTAAAAACATCACCATAATAAGGTAAGAAACATATTACTCACCTCCAAAAGTTTCCTTCTGTCTCTCTGGTTTTTGGATTTGTGTGTGTGTGTGTGCGTTAATGACACTTAACATGAAATCTACCCTCTTAACAAAGTTTTAAGTGCATAATACCACATTGTAAACTATAGGCACTATAGTATACAGCTGCTCTCTAGAACTCATTCATCTTTCCAACGCAGTTTTTAGACAACTGCATTATTCCATGTTTTACATGCTCAATTAGGAATCTCTTTGTCCATGCTGCTTATGTTAACTAACATACTTTAGCTGAGAAAAGGTCTGTCTGTGGTTTCTCTGGAATGGAAAGTGAACCTACTACAGGTGTGAAAAAGTCAGATTCACTCTCCTCAGGTTATCTGAGAACTAATAAATAAGGTAGTGGAAAAAGATAAGGTTGGATAGAAATGTGCTGTGAGTTAGCTGGTGAGCTATAGGTATGAGTGCATGGGGGATAAACATGATGAAGGCACCTGTAGTCACTTTAATTTGTTTCTTTTCTAGGACATAATGCATATTGCAGGCATCCTGTCTCTGGAACTGTGTTGTCAAGAAAAAGAGTGCTATGTTCTCAGTGTTCTACTCGGCCGTGAACTTCCTGGGGCCACATAACCCTGGGACTGGCCGGCACAGTAGGAGCTAAATAAATGTATGTTCAGTGAACCCCTCAAACCTCTTAGAAGTCAGGCTCCAGGGACATTTCGTTATTTTGCTCTAAATTCTACTATTCCTTCTTGTCATGAATATTTAATTCTGCCTTGTTCAAGAAAGGACTAAAGGCTTCTCTATTTCCTTTGGTAATTAGTTTAGATAAACTAAGTCATCCATTTCTGCACTACCCAGTGGACAACAGCTAGTGCTTAAATGTTCACAGCTTTATTTGACCTTGATATGTTTGAGAACAATACATAGACATACCATATATATATAAACCACTATCATTTGAGAATATAAACTAAAAAAGTTCCATATTTAAACTTCAGAATGTCTGACATAACTTTGTGAAAAATTCCAAATGACTGATTCTATCAATTTATGTTACAAGACAATTTGGTTCAAAAGTTTAAAATGAAGGGAAAATTATACAGAGAGAAAATTAAGTCCTAAGGGTTGTTTGATGGCATTAGGCAGTCTCAATTACACCTTTTCACTCAGTTCATCAAATTATTTGCCAGGTAAACATGCAGACATGGTTCTCAATCTCCTAGGTACTAGGGATTAAAAGCTCCAAGGAAATTTACAAAATCCACAGTGAATGAAGAAAGCAGTAATTCCATGTAGCTCAACCTGTGTGCCTATGCTCATGCTATATTCACCCTTTCCAATATTATTCACTATAGTCACAAATGTTACAACCAGCTATCTTTTTATAAAGTAAAAAAAGATAAAACTACAATTTTAGTAAATAATTCATCCTACTAGAAATGTCTCGAGGAAAAGCTCAACTGACACTAGCGACAATATTTTGCTTTGTTCCATATGATTGTGGTATTTTTGCCAATATTATTTATGGGATTTCCTTTGGTATTCTATGCAGAGTCATTTCCCAGGAATTCTGTCCTCAAGGCAAAGTCCAATTTAGCATCCTTCAGTCTCTTGCATTTCTATCTCTAGCCCCTCTCCATACACACTCTGAAGTTCATTAGCAAGGAAAGGCCAGGGCACCAGACAGATTGTGAAGGGAGGAAGAATGATTCCAAGAGGTGTGTGTGTGCGTGCGCGTGCGTGTGTGTGCACGCGCACGCAAGCCTGTTGCAGACGTCCTGATTTACCACAGTCTAGGGAGCTTACAGGGGGGTTTTGTGCTAAAACTCAGCAGGCCAGGCCTTTCCAGAAGGCTCTTGCTTCACTGGTCTTCTTTCCCCCGCCTCTGCGCCCCTCTTACTACTCAACCACATCACAGAAGTCTGTCCTGCAGGCCTAAAAAGGTGACTCTGTTGGTGTGTCTGCCTAACAATCAATAATTCATTTAAATGGATTTTCTGATGCATAAAATAATAGACTTTGCTTATAACCTTGCTGACTTTTACCAGCATTAACCTAAAAATCACACCTAAAAAAAGTGTTGTGAGAATGCTGAAACAGTTTTCTGTTTGAGTAACATTTATTTTTCATGACTATATAAATGATGAATATTCCTTATAGAAAAGTTGGAAGATGCAGAAAAGGAAAAAAGAAAGAGCAAGTACACAAGAGGTAACGATTGTAAGTCTTGTGGCTCATTTTTTCCTTATTTTTATATGTATATACATATCTCTATATATGCATCTAATTTTAACATTCAATTGAGATTTTAGTGTATAAGATTTTGGATTCTGCTTTGCCTTTAATGTTATACCATAAGCAATTTCCCATATCCTAAAATTAGTTGAAAATATTTTTAATGGTTGATAAGATTCTTCTGTCTAATATGAAAATGTATTTAAACATTAGTTTATGCGGCAGAGTTAGAGTATATGTAGGTTTTCAACATTGTAAGTACTTTCGTGGTGAATATCTTTGAACATAAACCTTTTTAATATCTCAGATTACTTTCCTAATCCAAATACCTACAAGTAGAATTACTAGATTAAAGGGTAGGAGTATTTTTGAGGCTAGAGGCTCCTAATGATTTTTAATCATTTTTATGAAATAAAACCCTCAAATGAGTTCAAAAATCAAAGTAAAACTATATATGCATTATTTTATTATGACTTTTCTAAGGATTAGTAAAACAAAAGATAATTGAAAATAACTTGTTATTTACTACAAAGAGACTCTCACCACATGAAAATTAGTCAGAACCTAGAGCAATCAAAAAATGATTCTTCTCTTATAAGACGGAAAAAATTCTGCCCTATAAATCCTTAATTTGGGCCACATTTTGTGAAAAAGCAAGCAAGCAAAAAAAAAAAAAGACATATGGCTATTACTATAGCAACACAGAGCTGGTCAACTACTTCAAGTTCTTGTGGCTGGCGAGGTTACTGGAACTGCAGGCCCACATCCCTGCCAAATTAAGTACATGGAGGTCACAGCACTTGACTTGAGACAGTGTTTCATAATTGTAGAGTTCTGTTTAGAAAAGGTCCTTGACTTAAAAATATCCTTTTGTGCCCTCTAGTGTTTAAATTCATCCAACCTTTTGAGAAGTTTGTAACATTTCTAAACTAGAGCTGAACACCATTTCATTCTTACTTATACCAGGGTTTCTCTACAGCAAAAGGTGGCCAACATATACACTGTTCCAAAAATTTTAAAGATTACTTAAAATTCTTCATTTAATTTCATTTCAGACCTACCACAGGGCAAATCCCACCCACCACCTGTTTTTGTAAATAAAGCATTATGGGAATATACCATGCTCATTCATTACATTTTGTCTATGGGTAGCTACGTTTGTTCTACAAGGCAGAGTTGTACCACAGAGACCTTATGTCCTACAAAGTCTAAAATATTTACTATCTACCTCTTCACAGAAAAACTTTACTGATTTATCCTTGGGTTAAAGAATCTCTCTGATACTTAGATTGGAAGAGGAAAAAAATACATGTATTTTCCTAACGATATCATGACATTTTACAATGTCCTTTAATTCCATTCCTTTCCATCAAACAATGGAATACTAGTTCAAACAAAGAGTAGTAGCCATGTCAATTAGCTTTGTGGTCCAAGTACCAAATTTGTATTTTCTCAGTGAAAACGTTTACACACCTACTCAGGGTGATAATATTGACTCCTTCTTGATGACTTTGGTATTGATATGATTATATCGGTGAGAATAAAACAAGATTAAAGTTCTTTACCCACCAAGACCAAGGGCCCAAGAACTCTCTTGCCTCCTGAGCTACATCATCTTTTATTGATTAGGTAGAACTCAGACTAGCAAGTTCTCTATTTTTATACATTTAATAAAAACTAAAGCTTGCAATTGCTTTTACAAACTCATACAGTCTTTCTAGAATAAAGTAAACATATCAGTTATAATTAACATGCGGCTTACTTCAGTTTCAAGCTTGATTCAAATCTCAATCACTTCTTTCATATATGAATGAAAGTATAATGTACAATAATAAGGCCATAGTCCTATGTGGGCAACTTAACAGGCTACCTTCCTTCCCTAAGACAAATCCCACTTCTTCCTAAGCCCCTCTGATATTTCATCTTCTCATTTGTGTATCTAGAAGATTTACTGAAACTTCCTTCTTCTTATCGGAAATGGTTAATTGTAGTTCATTAGAGTTTTTCTTTTTTCTTTTCCATATGGTTTTCAGGGAGTGGACCTACTTTACTGTTTTCTAACTTAAAAGTTGACTTCTGATTCACAGTGGTTATAGCCATTCCTTTTACAAAGATATACATCAACAATACCCTGGCCAGAAATTTTGTACAATAACAGAAGAAAACACAACACCACAGGTTTGGAAAAGTGAATGAAAACAGTCTCTGGTTGATTACCTCTGCTAATGAAAAGGCATCTTATTTTTGTGATACGCATTCATGGTCGTCGTAGATTACACACCTGGAACTGAAGTTTGCTGCCCTTCTCAGCCTTACAGTTTCTCACTGATTTCGTATTATCTACTCTTCTTATATTTCCCTCACCCTCCGACTACAGTCTCCATCCTTGTATCTGACACAGAAATCATTTAAACACAAACCCAAATACAAACCCTGCATAGACTTACTTTATGGAATCACATACTGAAAACTCTGAATCAAAGAAACCCGCAATGTTACCTTTCAAATACTGGCAACAACAGCAGCAACAAAATGCATGGTGAAACGTATCATCTGTCATGCCCAATGTTAAAAGCAATTAAAATTTAAAAAAAGTGACACCATACCTCTATTCCATAAGCAAAATAAATTATTTCCAAACTTACCTGCAAGAGAAAAGAAAAAGATCAGTAAATCTCAAATCAGAGTACATTTTAATTCTTCTTTCTTCAGTAAATTAGACAAAATTGTCATCATAAGCATAGCTAATCCTTAATTATCACTGTGTGGATTATTCTCTGTAAATAATGCTTTCTAGTTCTTGTAGATGCCAGTAGGGCTGGCAGTGAGATTCTCTAAAGGCCAATTCTCTCTATGAATAGAGTGCTTTTTTATATATAATCTGAACCTAGTAGATGAGTTTTAGACCAAAAATTTAAATGATTCCCTGGATCCAGGAAATCTGTGAATTAAAAATCATATTTTGGGGAGTAAAATATAAACAATGGGGGAGATATTGGCTTGACAGTTTTGAAGAAAAACATTTTTTTTCATTGCAGGACTTCTAAGAGCTTTGGATATAATAATTGGAATGAGGCTATTCTAGAAGGTGGAGAACTTTTGCATAAAAATTAAACCATTCCCCACGGACATCAGTTAATATCAGAGTAAGTCATATTTTAGAATACTACTTGGGAATTGCTGCACAAGGCACCTTAAACTGAGTTTTATATGAATCATAGTGTTTCTATTACTCCTAAAGAATTGTTTTCACTTAACTGGAGAGGTAAAATGAATTGCTAATCACTTGAAAAACAGTATGACTGTACTGAGGAACAAAACACAGTAGCTCACTTTCAGGTGAGTGCTTTTATCTATTAGATCAAATTGCCTGCTAAATTAAAATTAGTTATAATATTTGAATTATGATCATTTAATGTAAAATTTCCTTGCCCAGAATATTCTACACTATAAGTCAGTTTCTCACCATCCTGAAACTTGTTCAAGAAATCCCTGTGCATTTTTAAATCTATCTTTGTATTTCTAGTTTAGCTTGGGCCAAAATGTTCTCTGTGGAGCACCAAACCCATTAGATACTCTGAAAATAAAGAAACAAAAAAGTTCCGTATTTAATAAAGTTTGGAATATTCTGCATATGGTAACTCTTTCCTGGAGATTTAAAATATTTATTTAGTCTGTTAAAGACTTTAGGAGTCTTACAGTTATACATCAGTTTAATTTTGTGAATCACAGCTTATTTGACCATAGAATCGTTTTGCTTGTAGCACCTATTGATATTATATGGAACTAGTATTCCACAGAACTTACTTTGGGACATACTGACTTAGGCTACTAGAGTTCTTAGTAGCAAGAGATGAAGAAAACATAAACTATCATAAGTATTGTATTAAAAGAAAAAAAAAAGGGCTCCAACGGTCCTGACCAAAAGAGGTGATTTTTGTGAATGCACCTCGTTTCTCAGTGAGAAAGGAAGAGGAGACAGAGAACAGTCTGATTGTATGTATATGTGTAGGGTAGCATATGGTTCAGGACCTTTTGCTCAAATGTATCAACCTCATACTGCCAGGACTTCATTTACCCATGAATGTGGGTTCAAGGCTAAGATGTAATTCCAAAATATATCTTTCATTTTAGAGAAAAGAAACATCAAAAGATTTTGACACAACATGAATGACGTGACCTAATATTAAAACATTGTCTTTGTTGATGTCAGGAACTTTAAGAAACTAAACACTATAAATATTAAGATTTAGCTGAGAGACACAAACAATATGGCAAAAATATTTCATCATGATTTTATTCAGCTGATGTATGACCATGAGCTTCTGGGGATGGAGAAATAATGGGATCAAATCTTTCTTTTCACCCAAATCTGCTAGACCTTCCTGTGTATTATGTAAAATACAGGATTTTAAAATATGAAGTCCATGAACAGGCTCATGAGTAAACTGCAGGGGAGTTGCTGAAGAACCTGAAATTATAAGCAAAATTGTATGCATATTTGCATTTCTCAAGGGAGCAGAATCACAGATTTAATCAAATTTTCAAAGTACCCTTAAACCTCCAAAAAGTGATAGATCATTTGAGGAGATAATCTCTAAGGATGCTCTTTATCTTCTGATCACAGTTTATGTTTTATGGAAAGTATCATAAGTCATATTTATGACATTTAGTAATTTCTTTGCTGGGACCTTTATTTTTAGATATTTAAGAAATTTAAAAAACACTGTAAAGACTACAAGTAGTTTATGAGAACTGGTTAAAATATACTTAATCATATAAAGTTTATATATATAAACTCTATTTAAAGATCTTATTTGAGTGAGAAACTGAATTGCCCACAAGATGGCTCTCTATAATCTTGGATATACGAGTTTACCAAACCAGCTTCTTAAAAGCTATTTCTAACATCTTTTCTTCATCTAAAAATCTCATATTCACAATAAATGGTTCTCCAACATTGTTTTATTTCTGTGCTTGAATATCTAGCAATGCCTGACAAAGTGTTAATGTTTTTCTAGTGAATGGATTAATGAACAGATATTGCAGACATTTACAGATTATTTACTACATTATTACCACATTGTTATTTGTCTCCTACATACACAGCCCTGTGCTATGCATGCTGATGAATTTTTTAAAAAGGAGTTAAAGTTTAAAAAGCAAATCGTGGTTTTTATCCTTCAGGGAAGACAAAATTTCCATACCCAAACACTTCATAGTATATTTACATGAAAAATGATTGGTATAGACAAATTATAGGTGTACAAAGAAGAGGAGACATCAATGTGAGATTCAGTTAGATAAAAGACCTTGTGATGTTGGTTCGACCTATAAAGAACTGCAAGGTTTGTATGAGAGGAAGGTAAGGGGAAATATTCCAGAAAGGGCAAATATCACAAGAAAAAGCTTGGCATGATGTGGTCATGGCATGCAAGAAAATGGCTTCCCTGCAGTTAAGGCTGGGTGAGTTATAGAGTGTTGAAAGCCATTCCACAGGGAAGGAAAGGTAATAAATGTTTATTGAGGACACAGTATGATTCATGCTGTGATTAAATAATCCCTCTAACTTAATGATATATGCATGTGCCTCTTATTAAAGTATTGGAACTGTGGTGCTATATTTGGATATTTTGAGGGTAGGTGGTTCTTTCCTAAATGTTGTACTAAATCCCAGTATACAATCACCACAGGAAGAGAAAGGTCCTTGGATAGAAAATCAGAATGAAGGAGGTGAGCTGTAAGCCTAAGAGGAGATTAAGCTTCCCTGTCATGCTTCTCTCTCTCTTGAGAGAAGAATTTATCTTTGTGGTAAGGCCTCTGCTGCCTGGTGTGGAGTGAGAGCCAGAGGGAAGGCTTTTCATAAGGCGCTGAATTTGAGTAAAATAGCTCCTATAATAAGTCAAATTATCTAGTCTCATGCTGTTTTGATTTTACATGTTTCCTTTCGTCAGTAAAGTCTTGTTTAAAAATGTCTACTTTGTCTCAGTTGTTGACACCGAAAAACAGAGGGCTTTTTTGTTTTTTCCCCATATTTGGATAAATTGGGTTTAGAGGAGCAGTCTCTGCCTCATTAAAAGATGATGATACTGAAAACAAAAATCACAAAGACCTCAGGGAAAAGGGTTCATCTTAGGAGAAAGAGAGCTGAGGCATGTGGTCTAGCTGTCTCTCTCCAAATTCAGAATTTTCTTCCATTTCAACCTTGAACCCCAAATTTACAAGTCAGACTGTCTACTCAACATCCCCTTATAAACATTTCAATTTAATATGTTCATAACAGAGCTTCTAATCTTCCCTCTCCAAGCCTTATTTTTTTCTGATGTCTTGTCCCATCTCAGTTTTTGGCAACTCCATCCTTCCAGTTGTTCAGCCCAGAACCGTGGTCAACCACCATCATTTCTCATGATGAATGTCCCCCCTAGACTCTCTGCTTCTTCCCTTAACCTCCTAAAGTTTATTTGAAATTAGTAGTCAGAGTGATCTTGTTAAAACCTGTTCAAAACTCCCTGCTGGCTTATTGTTTCACTCAGAATTAAGACCAAAGTCACTAGGAAGGTCAACAAAGGTCTTCAAGAATTGCCACTTATCTGCCCCCACCCTTACCCCCTTTACCCACTTATGTTTCATCTCCAACTTTGTCTCCTCTTGTGCTCCACTCTGCTACTTCACCCCAGCCCTCAGGGCTTCCTGACTCTTCCTCAATCATGGCAGCAAGACTCCTTATTTTCCTTCTGCCTAGGACACTCTTCCCTCATATACCCACCTCCTTCATGTGTGTGCTGAAATTCCACCTTTTCAATAATATCTTTCCTAACCATCCTACTGAAAATTCCACCACACACACACACACACACACACACACACACACACATACACACACACACACACTCATTAACTTCTTTCCCAATACATTTTTCTTCATAGCATTGACCACAAAAATCACTTGCTCTCTCCCTCTCTCTTTCTCTCTCTCTATTATTTTCTTATCTTTTCCCCCAACAAGAATATAACCATCAAGAGGGTACAATTTTTGTTCATTGCTGTATCTCCTCCAACACATAGAATAAAGCTTGGAACTTAGTATGCCTACAATAGATATCTATTGAATAAACATTTTTTAAAGTCTTGGTTTATTTGTTCTCCTGAAAAATCAGAAATTCTGCCAACACTGGCTTGTGCTTTCACATGCAACAACTGTTAGGAGCTTAGAAGTAGCTGTGCGGGCAGAGCAGGGTGCACTGTCCCTTGGGTCAGAATCATCACCTGCCTTCTCCAACTGCCTGACCCCCATTGATGTGTGACCTCTGCTGAGAGAGCCCTGAATGGCAAGTGAGAGGATCAAATAAGAACTTTCACCACATCACCTGGGAGTAGTGAGTAGGATGGATGTAACAATACTAGATGCAGACATTCCAGTATCTTTTGTCCAAGTCCAGGTACAAACAACGAGGACTGTGGCAGGTTCACATGCTGATGAAGCAGAGCCTGAAGGAAGGATTAACAGGACTTAAGAATGTGTTGGATATTGGAAACGAAGGAAAAGAAAGAGTAATGATGACTGATATTTCTATAGTGGTTGATTAAGAGAATGGTAATTCCCCATGTTCTAAGAGAACTTGGGAAAGAGTCAACTTAAGAGATCAGAAGACCTACATGTAGAAAGAAATATACTGATCTTGATGAATATAAGCTGAGTTTGAAGACACAGATTCAAAGGTATTCGATAACGAAAAAGGACTTTGAGATCAATATCAGAGATGAGGATTCAATTTGGCATCGTGTTTATATACCACCTATGAAAAGGCACATTATGATGAAGACCATCTCAAGAACAGAATATACAGAACAAGAGATAAAAATAGGGTATAGAAGAGAAGATTCTCAACTATAGGTCAAGTGGTTGGAATGAGATGTGAAGAAAAAAATCCTCTCTCCCCCCATCCGAAGGACACACACCTACTCAAACACAGTGCACATGATGCAGTGTGTTGAAACTGGCTGCTTCCACACTCCATGTGTGTCCCTTCCCTCTCCATTCTGAATCTAAGATAATCTCATTCTAGTGAACATAAGTTATAAACGGCACCATGAATATTTGAATAGGTTCCCTCCTTTTCCTTTCCTGACTTTCTATGTCCAGACC